ACTGCATGGTGCTGTTTACCTGGGGAGAGAGGCTCAATGGCCTCCCTGTAGAGAACTACATCGTCAGAGAGGGCAAGGAGCTCAAGGAGCTTCTGGAGAAGTGTGGGAACAGATACCATGTTCTCAGCAGCTTAGATTTTGAGGATCCTGTTCAAGTCAAAGAGCTGTTCCAAAAAATTATCAACATGGTAAAACAGAACAAAGGATGCTTCACGACTGAAGGAAAAAGAAAGAATTTTCAGTTTCTACCTCGGAAAGGAAAACAACGCATCCTGACAGAAGAGGAGTGGAACAGACGGGAGCAGGAGCTGATGGAGAGAGTGATGAAAGCTTTAGCAAAGGAACCAGAGAAACCAACAGTGTCCTCTGTGGAGGTGGCAGGAAGCAAGGATGAAGGTTTGATTCCATACAGTAAGTTTAAAATAATGAATCATTGAGTTTCCACAAACTCTTGGCAACATCAATGTTTTTTGTTTGTTTTTTAGAATAACAGTTTTTTCTTCTGTTTCAGTGAGCGGAGATGATGCCTCAGAATATGGGAGCATTTCAGAGATTAGGAACCAACGAGGTCATAAAAAGGTTTCTGAATGGCTGGCTAACAGAGTGAGATGGTCTTTCAGCTCTGGGTATAGCAGCATGCGTTCCTCATTACGCTCTATGAAGAAACATGATTAGATCTCCAATAGATTAAAACCAAAAACCTCCAGCAGAGAAAATGATTGAAGCTTAAGGAGAACACAGGATGGAATATGAAAATATACCAGCTTGGTGCTACATGAGCCCCATGTTGGTCTAAACTCTCTAGATCACATGTTTAAAGTCCTGGTCCTGTAATGTTGTGGGTTCTTTTGGTGCCAGGAAATATGTTCATGTGTGTTTTCACACGTCCTTGTGTCTATATAAGGTGTGTCTGATGTGTTAATGTAAAGGCAGCTGTATATGTTGTGGGTTTATGTGTCTATATTAGATCTATATGTTGTGTCCATTCGCTTTGTGTTTATGTATTCTGTCTATGTGAAATATTATGTGTAAATCATGAGTTTTTCTCTTTGTCATCATGTTATGTTGCTTATCTATGTTGTGGAACCCGTCTTCTTCTTCTATTATCACATGATGTCTTTTATCCTCTTATAATATAAAGAACGTCCATCAAATTATAGATGAACACATGAGAGTACGCCGAGGCTACAATTGTTTTAGTGTCATCAGTTGTCATCACGTAAAATGTTGGTAACATTTGGATGGTGAATTGATGAAGATAGGACGCAGAGAGGACGCAGAGAGGACGCTGGCGTTGGCTGTTTGCCGCTTCTCTCCAAATCCGTCAAAATCTGTCCTTTTCTGCAAAATCCATCCTACTGTACCGTATTCTGGGAACTCAGTTACTACAGTAAGAGACAGATTATTTTGTAGTACACACCGAATTTGTGTGGTACCCTGGACTTACCTGTCACTACGCTGGACACTGCTTGCTAAGTGAATCGTCCTTTTCTCTGGGCTTCAAATCCCCCAATCCTGCTGCTTCCTTTT